CAGCAGAAATCTGGCATCATGAGAAGCATGGTTTAAAATCTAACACAGATAATCTTTTGGTTGGAAATGATTTGTCCTTGATGTTTCAGACACGTTTCTCAAACCAGCAGGAAAACTCTGGCCACTGAGACCAAAGAGAAATCTCTTTCTCGATGCCCCTTCTAGGAAACAGGTGTTTATACTGACTTTTCTTCAAAACTTAAATCCTAGCTATTCAAAGTAAAGGAAAAGTACCAATTTACTTAGAGAACTGGAAGTCTATTACTAAAAATATAGACCAGATCAATAATATAATCATAGGATGTAATCTATCCTGTTATCCTGTAACTTCCTCAAACCAATTATTTTCTTCTCAAGACTGAAGAATAAAAAAAGCCGCCGAACTTTTAGCTCTTTATCTAGCAGCCAGAGCTGTACTTCCTTTACACCCTCAGATTGCTTAACAGATTACCACAACCTTGTGTCATGACTTCCCAGGCTTTTCTGTTTTCTGGGAATTCAAAGGGCCCAAAAGATGGATTTTCCAGGCAGTCTTAACATTCCTTCAGTTTTTAAGCCTCAAACGAAATTTGAGTTCCTTTACACAGAAAGTATTTTGCAATCTTTTCGCAACTTCTACAAAGTGACTCACTGAGATTACAAGAAAAAGGAAGTGACTGATAGCCTGTAACTGATGAAAAAAGGGAAAATTCCCCCCTAGATTTTTTTTTTTTTAATCAAATGCTTTATTTGAAAACGAAAGGTATGGGGCAAGATAGATGTGCTCAACAATTGAGCATTAAATGTACAAAGTGAGCTATATAGGTGATGATTAATTTTCTTCAGAACAGCTGTCAATTCTGTTGACGTAGTATCCACAAGCACAGTCATGAATTCTGGTATGTACTTAAAACTCACACTTGAAGAGCATATTACATGTTTAAGAAATTAAAATATTTCAGCGGATCACTTCTGTACAAAAAAATAAATCACAGCGTGCAGACAAATAAGACAGCTTAACAGCTTGCTGCCTCTGCCACTAAAAGAGACAGCGTAGATCTCTCCTCTCCTGCAGGTCATCCTTCCCTTTCATTTATGTCAAGCCAGTGAGCTAATTTAGCTCATTAAATCGTCAGGAAAACTTTCCCTTTTTTTGATGGACTGTTTTTCTGTCAGTCCAACAAGCAAGGAAGAGCCAGACAAGCACGAGAGATGCAAGCACGCAGCTGGGAGGAAAGCGCTGGGCTACTTGCTCCGACGGCCACAAGCTGTGGGATCGGCTCTGCTGCACGGTCTGCCTGTCCTCGCGGCATCTCCCTCAGGTCAGAGGCGAGGTGATGGGGCATCCTCTGAACGGCACAGGTTCATAAAGCTGCTCAATAACAGAGCAATGATTAATACTCCACTACAGTAGCTACACCATGACCCTTGCAATTTTGTGTTCACAAGCAATGGGGAACTCATATTCTTGCCATTCCTGTGACCAGTCTGCTCACATCCAGATCCAACACATTCTTCTACTGATGACTGCCCATGTTCTGTACATCCATTCTCCTGAGTTGTCATATGTTCCAGTTTTGCTTCTTCACTAAGCAGTCTCAAAGACTTGGTGCCAGTCTTGCTAAGAAACGTTTCAAATAGATCTCAAAGTTTTGGTGCTAACAAATAATCGGTTTTCAGTTGTTCTTGCACCAAATGTTCCCAAACTGATAGAGACACATCTCGAGGACCAGAGGAAGACCAACTTTTCCAGAGTCAGAATCAACTATATTGATGTCATTCCTGACAGAAGTTAACTTAACTCATTCTTAAAGCTCTCCAGTGATGTCCAAAAATTTCACACTCTCCTCAATTACTATTTAGCGCTCAGCTAGCTTTAACGTTAAAAGTTTTCCTAATGCCTAACCTGAAGCTTCCTTGCTACAATTTAGGAACAGGTCGTTCATTACTCTTCGCAATATCTTCCCATGGAAAATAACAGTCCTCCAACTCAGTCTTCCTGATTTTATGCTAATGCTCCCAGCTCACACAATCCTTCCTTGGAGGTGAGTTCCTCACTGCTGTCTTCCTATGGCTTCCCATGGTTTCCCACAGCTTCCCACTGGTCTTTCCTGCAGTGCCGCACCCAAAACTCAGCGGGTCCTGCTGTGGCCAATCTTCCTGACCCTACACACCCCACACCAAAATCTACGTGAGGGCAAGAAGCACAAGATGCATGCCAAACGCAATGAAAAGGAGGGCTGGGGGAAAGAGGAAGGGATTATTGCAAGCAGCTCACAGGAGAGCAGAGCGCGATCCCAGCTGGCCCACCTTCACCCACAGCAGGGAATGGGTGATGCACGGCATTCCCCCTGGTAACACAACCCCGGTTGGTACCCCCTTGATACCCGCTCCTGAATAAGTGCTCAAGAGCCATACATTGTTCATGCTTGTAAACTGGGAGGGAAACAGACTGGGCAGGCCAACAGCGCTTGCACGGTGCTTTCATGATGAAATGCCTGGCCTGACAAGCCATACTTGCTAGAAAGCGCCCCGCTGATAACTCAAATACCCATCTTTCTGTGAAGACTCACAGATTATGAAACATCCTTTAATTTCAACAGAGAAATTACTTTTTTTAATGTTATCATAACAAAACTCACTACCTAGGGAAAAAAAAAAAGTGATGATGTGTCTTATAGATATGTCTTATGGCTATAAACTTCAGTACTAAGAAAAGTAAATAACCCTACACCACTTATTTTGCGTATCAAAAGCATAGTAAGCCAATCCTGTAGTAACAAAGTCACTGACAGCAGGACATGGGTCCTCTGCAGTAATCCATAATATTACACTGTCAAGTTCTAGAGAAGCCTGAACTGTGAGTGTAAAACTTGTTTGTATAACATACAATTTTCAGTATTAACAATATCACAAAAGTTCACATAAATTTCAGACAGTCCTGTAATTTAAAAGGTCCTGAATTCATTGGTAAATTTGAGAAAGCTGCACGACAGAGTCAGAATCAAAGGACCGCCCCGAGAAGCAGTTCAGGTCCCTAGGAATCAGGTTGTGCTTTCAGCTTACCATTGAGACCCATTCCATCATTCACAGCACCTTATCCCTTCCTGTGCTGCTGAATGCCTTCACACAAAACTCTCCCATTTACACTAAAAGTGGTCCCATCATTCTTAATGCTGTTATAGGATGTAGATGTCTCTCCTGAGTTTTCCTAAGATTTCTCATCACTGTTTTAGTGCTCCAGCAGTGATATTTACAGTGGCAATGGCCACGGTACCTGTGAAGAGGACGGCACTTATACCACAAATGTATGCCATTCTGCTCCAGGACAGCTAGAACTGCAACAGCAGTAACAGTGTAGCCACACACATTACAACAAACTAGTGAATTTTTGTGAACTTGATCAATAGAGATAAGTAGACAGTGATCATTTTCTAATCCTTTCTCTTTCACCATGTGCCGCAACGGAACGCGGGAACGTTAACTGGGGCAGTATAATCACAGCAGCAGCAGAAGAGCAAGATGGGGAAAAGACAGCAGCAAAGAATATAAAGCATCTGGCACAAGTTAAAAGGGAATATTCATTCATTCTTAAAGACTCCCCATACCAATGCCACACAAATCTACAGAGAACATTTCACCTAATCTTAGCCTTTTATGAAAAATGCCGCACAAGACAAAGCTGTTGGCTCTGATCACGCAAGAACTTCAAACAGATCTGATTACAGAAACGCAGAAAAACTTCTTCCGC